CCAAGGGCGATGTAAGGGTTCTAATTATCATTAGAACCAGTTAACACCCGTGGTACATATATGCTTTTATTTTTTACCTAATTTTAATTATTCATATTTACTTATTTGCTAATTCATTAGATGTTAACTTCACTCGCTTTGTCATTTCATATTTCTCTCTCACAATTCCCACCGTAAGATAACACGTAGCAATATTCAACTGTTTTTATATTTCTGTCTTTATGATCCACGTACGTTACGCAGTGAATATCAAGCTTCGTGTCGAAGGCAATAAAAAGAAATAACGTACCAGTAAAAAATAAAACTATTAATTTCAAGCAGAAATTACGAGAAAACAACTGTTTTGTTTTAAATTGTGCATTACGTTTTTTAAAGATTCAAATTTCAGAACATATATTATTTAAGAAAAATATCTTAAAAAATGTACTTTTGCAATGTTATTTTATACTGTTTTCGAAAATACACCAGAAGTACCGAAAACAGAATCTGTGCCATTATAAAACCACTAATGCTCAACGAAGAAAACCATTAAAGAAAAAATTGGAGTATTATTTCAGAAAATAATTGTTTAATAATTTCCTATATTTCACGAAATTTTACCGAAAAATGCTCGTATTTTGCAAATATTATACCGGACCTTATTTCAAGTTCGATCTTTTATCAAAAGATTTTATTCGAGAAAAATTATCTTTCTGCAAAACAGTAGTTGTACGCATACGTTGAAAACAATTAAACGTTTGCAATTTTCGACAATTCGGAAACTCCAACGAAAATGAAACTTGCTGCATCTCTTTAAGAGCCCTTTACGCTACGGAGGCACAGTTCAATAAAAAATATGGAGCCATCTCTACCGAATTTTACCGCCAGATGTCGTTCCAATAGTACCATATTTCAAAGCGAAACGGTCGGGGTTTTCAACTTTTATTGCTTATGTAGACATTCTGTCCGAAAAAGCGTTTTCTAGCATATCCCTAATCATTAATAAATAATATGCACAAATCTTAAAAAAAAACACAAGTTTCTACATTGTTCTAGCTGAACGATATAATTTCATAGATGCAGGAAATTGTTATACAAGGTATTAGGACATATCAGAATAGAATGTAACAATTGTTTTAATTGAGAGTTATTAAATAATATCTTCTCCAATCATTATGAACTCTGTAAGTCAGCAAATTCACTTATTGTTCACGTGAACGAGCAAATTGGTAGAAAAGCTTACTTTTCACAAATGCAACAGCATCCTCATATATTTGAATTTGTTAAAATTGTTATTGAAACATTTCAGTTGGCAGACGAGTATTAACGGGGATAGAAATTTTCCCCCTAAAATGTTTCAGTAACTATTAATTTTAAGAGGTCGCGAAACTTCAATCAAAATATTTTTGGATAATCATTAAAACGAAGAAAGTTGTATCACAGCCTGAGCTGGGTGTAGGCTGTGGAATTTTACCAAATCTGTAATATGAAACATTCGACTAAAACATTTTAAATTTCCCCTCCCAAAATTTGTCTCTGGATCCATCCCTGCAATTGGTTTTTGAAATCATATGTCATCTTGCAAAATAAACGATCGTGTCGAAATGTAAAGGCACTGTCATTTTTCCTGCATTTACCATTTGTGTTTTTTAATATGAAAGTATATTGCCTAACTTCGTTCAACGTTTAATCCAGGTCATTCTGCATAGTTGGTGACGTCATAAACATACGTCGCTAACCATGTGTCACTGTCAGTAAAAATTCGAAGTATCCGATTCTCCCGCACATAGTATCTCAGAATACATTACACAAATTTCTATGGCGTACAGAGCGGTGGCAATAGAGAACGCGTTGAAATTGTGTGGTGGGAAATTTCATTTAAGGGCGTTACAGTTTCGACACTTCCCCTGATTTTTAGGCAACGTGCTAAGCACAGACGTCCTGGAGGTCACGCTCAAACACACTCAAGGACATTCCATCTGCACACCTGTCCATAAGGAGTTGCCTAAACATCATATGCCACATGCATAGATACACAAAGTACCCTATATATATATATATATATATATATATATATATATATATATATAGAGAGAGAGAGAGAGAGGGAGAGAGAGAGAGGGAGAGAGAGGGAGGGAGAGAGGGAGAGAGAGAGGGAGAGAGAGAGGGAGAGGGAGAGAGAGAGAGAATTAACACACATAAAAAGGCATTGAATTTACACAATTCAATTGCTTTCTTATTTTTCGGTTGATTTATCTTTGTAAATAAATTGAATCATTTCTTTCGTAAATAATCAACAATTTACTTATTGCTGGAGTGTTTCTATGCTAATATTTCCACAGAAAGTACTTTTTCATACCAACATTTGAGTGCTTATTGCGGCTCAACCATTCCAAATATCGAAAGTTTATTGAGGAAAACATGCGTAAAACTGTGTTGAGGGGTTATTTGTGTGGGACAATCCACGTCGGCCAGTGGCCGCAAGTCGAGCGCGTGCGCTCTAAGGCTCTGAGGTTGGGGACTCACCGGCGGGCGCGCGGCGGGCGGCGAGGGCGGCGGCGTGGCCACGCGCTG